CCTCTCAAATATCTCAATAACCGCCTCAACGCAGTCCAATGATCCCTACTTGAGTCATGAGTATATCGGCTCAATCTTCCGACAACACAAACTATGTCGGGCCTAGTAAAATTTATAAAATGTAATAAACATCCAATAATTTGGAATGCACATTAGCACACCATATCTTCAATTTAGTTTATGCAAAAGTAGCAAAGAGTTATAAAGCTCATTTTCACTCAAAGAGATAGATAATAAAAATTAAACTAAGCACCCCCACAATTTTAAATATTTCAAAACAGGTGCATAACCATTCTAGACTTCATAGAGAGATAATTTATATCTCAACCTTTATTTGTACACAATAATTTTATCAAATATGACTCGCCCTTTAAATTTAAATAAGATAGAATTTAGTTTATCTCAAAAAATCACCAATTAATGTGACAAAGAACTTTTGCCACCTCTAAACACAATGTAGATGCTCTAATAAAATTTATATAAAACATCAAATATATCACAATTTTCTAGTATCATTATATATATATATATATATATATATATATATATATATATATATATATATATATATACTAGAAATCAAACCTCAAACATTTAACAATTAAATATAAGAATCATTTTCATATATTAATCTAGTATGTAACACATTATAAGAGTCAATCAAATAAGCAAAAGACATTCAATTCATTATTTCAGAAACATTGAGAACAAACAGTCCATGATTACAATAGCCTTTTCCCACAAAGACATTATTTTTAGTCATCACAATTTTGTCCGATTCAAAGGACACCTTAACTCCAGCTTTCCCCAAAAGTGAAACCGAGACTAAATTAGTGCGAATTTCAGGCACATGAAGCACATCATTCAAGGACAACGTTTTCCCCGATGTGAGCTTAAGAACAACTTTTCCCTTACCATGCACCTTGGTTGTGTGAGAGTCACCAAGATACACTTGTTCTTCACCATCCCCTATAGGAGTATAAGAGGAAAAAACACTTTTGTTTTTACAAATGTGCTTGGTAGCCCCAGAATCTACCACCCATTCATTCACATCGGACACCAAACAAGTTTGAGAAACAACCGCCGCAATGACATCATCATCTTGAACCAAGTTTGCACTTGGTCTAGGTGGTTTGTTGTTTCTCATAGTTGCCCGTTTCCTACATTGTGCTGCAAAATGTCCCGGTTTTCCACACTCATAACAATGTTTTTCCTTTTTAAAGCTGGTGTTAGATTTAGGCTTATTGTAATTTGGCTTGTTATTATCTTCATTATTATTATTATTATACCTCCTTTTGTTTTGAGTCTCCACTAGGTTGGCGTTGGAGGTGTATTGCATGATTTGAGCCTTGGAGCCCTCCCTCCTATTGGTGTCTTCAATGATAATGTGTGTGATCACTTCATTTAATGACATGGGTCAAAATTTGTGCTTGAGGTCGCGCTTGTAGTCCTTCCATGACTCGGGCAATTTTTCAATGAGGATCTCGGCAACAAAAGGTTCGGGCAGCTCGATCTGCACGCCTTTGAGGTCCTCCAAGAGCGTTTGATATTCATGAATTTGTGCCTTTATGTCCTTGTCGTCTTTCATTTCCCATTTGTAATAGTTTCCTATCACAAATTTTTGTTTGACGGTGTCCTCGGCTGTGTACTTGGCAATCATAGAATCCCATATTTCCTTGGCCACTTTTTTCGTGCAATAAACATCAAAGAGCTCGTTAGATAAAGTACTCAGAATAGTGTGACGGCAAACCTTATTCGAGTAGGTCCATTGTTGAAGGAGTTTGATGGCTTCGGGAGATTTGTCGTCGGGCATGGCGTGGGTGAGAGCATCGGCAACGCCATGCATGTCAAGTGTTGAGAACAAACGTTCTTTCCATCTTTTGAAATTTGCCCCAGAAAATACTTCAATCTTGGAAATATCGGGAAATGGCTTCGCATGAACGGGCTGCATGTTGACGAGTGAGTCTGGCTGGGCGGAAGAATTTGCAGCTCCGTTTGGTGTGTCGGGAATGGAAATGATTTGAGCAGGTGTATCCGACGCCATACTTTCTTGAGATTGTTGTATAAAGTGGTCGGATAAACCTGCAAAAAAGCGTTTGAAAATAATATAGCTCGAGTCGCGTAAACGCTGTCCTCAAGAAAGTATTTCCGACTAGCGAAAATCTTTCCCCAAGATAAAACGAGCTCTTCGGCGTAAGCCGGTAACAGAACAACGAGAGTATAAAATATTAATCCAACAGTGTTGTCATATATTAGGGGGATGTTTAGCTCAAAATAATCTTTTGTCTAGCAAGCTAGCTACTAAATATGAAGAGTAAAATTTTCTATGAGAGCAAGAACCATTGAATTTTGAAGACTGATTCTTCTATACCTTTCGAACACCACACAAACACACACATATATATATATACACTAGTGCCATACCTGATAACGGTTGTATTAAATAATATTAATGTACGTTGAGCCATTAACTTCACTCAATTACTCCCCCTGCACGTTGAGCAAATTAGGACTCAAATGCACTCATGGTTTAAAAGTTTATTATTAAATAATGAATTTGAATAACAAGTTTAACGTTTCAAAAGTGAATGAACATTTAAAGTGCTTACCGTTATTATTTGGAAGAACTCAATGAACATTAAAATATTTTTTTAATATTATACAAGGATATCTAATTTATAACATTGATTTATAAAGTAATATTATTAGATAATAAGAAATAATTTATTCATTTGAAATACTCTCGATTTTTCCAACAATCCCCCACATATTTCAAATGAATATTTTAAATTTTTGAAATTAGTTTAGAAAATTTCTGCTGGATTAAAGGAATGAGACTTTAAGTTTGGTGTCCGTAGACTATGAACCAAACCGAGATGATTAAGTCTTAATAAACCGAGCTTTTGGTGAAACCTATAGTTTCTTGAAACCAACAAGCTACTATTGGTAAATCAGGGTCTTAATGGTCGTGTCTCACCCTGCACAATTTCTCGTTATTACGCCGTTGTGCGCCGTAAGGTCATGCGCGTGCTTGGTTTTCATGAGTGCTCTAGAAGTTTTGTCATGCTTCATGGAGGCGGCCCCACCTCACACTCATATAGGTGATATCATCAAGTGTGTACCGCTTTTGCACACCACCCTAAAATTAAGGGCTATGATAATCATTAAGAGCTTTTAGCTCACCCTCACAGAGAATGCGGTTTCTAGCCTATATCTCACATCATGGAAATGAGCAAATTTAGTTAGGCTAGCAGAACTAAATGGAAGACTTGTTATTACCCATTTGAACTTGCTTCATGAGATCTCCAATCACACAAGTTGGGTTCCCGTCCCCATTTGTTTCAAAGTGACACTAGTCCCATTTCTTTCGATGTTTCGGTTATCATTTTTCGTCCTAGGGAGTCTGTCAAAGGAGTAGCTAATTCCTTCTGACTTCACAAAATTAATGGAAATAATTCCATTGTCAAACATCATTGCACCACTTTTAAGGGTGAATGGATATCCACTATTTTAATTTATCTGATTTGAGTATACTCAGATGCCGTCGTTGTATCCCGGCAATACAACGGATAACTCTCAACAAAATATAACATCGATGTGACCCTCTAGTACATCGGATAATTCTCAATAAAATATATACCATCATTGTATCATTATAGTACAATGGATAATTCTCATATATCATCACTGTACCGCTCTAGGACAATGAATATTTCTCAATAAAACATATCATCGTTGTATCAATAGATTACAATGGATAATCTCAAAAAAATACCATAATTAATGGTACCTCTCAAATATCTCAATAACCGCCTCAACGCAGTCCAATGATCCCTACTTGAGTCATGAGTATATCGGCTCAATCTTCCGACAACACAAACTATGTCGGGCCTAGTAAAATTTATAAAATGTAATAAACATCCAATAATTTGGAATGCACAGTAGCACACCATATCTTCAATTTAGTTTATGCAAAAGTAACAAAGAGTTATAAAGCTCATTTTCACTCAAAGAGATAGATAATAAAAATTAAACTAAGCACCCCCACAATTTTAAATATTTCAAAACAGGTGCATAACCATTCTAGACTTCATAGAGAGATAATTTATATCTCAACCTTTATTTGTACACAATAATTTTATCAAATATGACTCGCCCTTTAAATTTATATAAGACAGAATTTAGTTTATCTCAAAAAATCACCAATTAATGTGACAAAGAACTTTTGCCACCTCTAAACACATTGTAGATGCTCTAATAAAATTTATATAAAACATCAAATATATCATAATTTTCTAGAGGTGCTCCCGTATCACTAAACATCAATCTTAGAATATTTAGGAGTTTAATATAGTACGTATCGCGGAATCAACAAATATAAAGATCAACACAATTTGAATGCCACTGAAAATCCCGAAATAAAATTAGATTCTCTCCACTTCATTTTTTTTTGGTTTAGATTGATCACAAACATCACAATGAAAATCATGATTGAACACAAACATCACAATTTTCTAGTGTCATTATATATATATATATATATATATATATACTAGAAATCAAACCTCAAACATTTAACAATTAAATATAAGAATCATTTTCATATATTAATCTAGTATGTAACACATTATAGGAGTCAATCAAATAAACAAAAGACATTCAATTCATTATTTCAGAAACATTGAGAACAAACAGTCCATGATTACAATAGCCTTTTCCCACAAAGACATTATTTTTAGTCATCACAATTTTGTCCGATTCAAAGGACACCTTAACTCCAGGTTTCCCCAAAAGTGAAACCGAGACTAAATTAGTGCGAATTTCAGGCACATGAAACACATCATTCAAGGACAACGTTTTCCCCGATGTGAGCTTAAGAACAACTTTTCCCTTACCATGCACCTTGGTTGTGTGAGAGTCACCAAGATACACTTGTTCTTCACCATCCCCTATAGGAGTATAGGAGGAAAAAACACTTTTGTTTTTACAAATGTGCTTGGTAGCCCCAGAATCTACCACCCATTCATTCACATCGGACACCAAACAAGTTTGAGAAACAACCGCCGCAATGACATCATCATCTTGAACCAAGTTTGCACTTGGTCTAGGTGGTTTGTTGTTTCTCATAGTTGCCCGTTTCCTACATTGTGCTGCAAAATGTCCCGGTTTTCCACACACATAACAATGTTTTTCCTTTTTAAAGCTGGTGTTAGATTTAGGTTTATTGTAATTTGGCTTGTTATTATCTTCATTATTATTATTATACCTCCTTTTGTTTTGAGTCTCCACTAGGTTGGCGTTGGAGGTGTATTGCATGATTTGAGCCTTGGAGCCCTCCCTCCTATTGGTGTCTTCAATGATAATGTGTGTGATCACTTCATTTAATGACATGGGTCCAAATTTGTGCTTGAGGTCGCGCTTGTAGTCCTTCCATGACTCGGGCAATTTTTCAATGAGGATCCCGGCAACAAAAGGTTCAGGCAGCTCGATCTGCACGCCTTTGAGGTCCTCCAAGAGCGTTTGATATTCATGAATTTGTGCCTTTATGTCCTTGTCGTCTTTCATTTCCCATTTGTAATAGTTTCCTATCACAAATTTTTGTTTGACGGTGTCCTCGGCTGTGTACTTGGCAATCATAGAATCCCATATTTCCTTGGCCACTTTTTTCGTGCAATAAACATCAAAGAGCTCGTTAGATAAAGTACTCAGAATAGTGTGACGACAAACCTTATTCGAGTAGGTCCATTGTTGAAGGAGTTTGATGGCTTCGGGAGATTTGTCGTCGGGCATGGCGTGGGTGAGAGCATCGGCAACGCCATGCATGTCAAGTGTTGAGAACAAACGTTCTTGCCATCTTTTGAAATTTGCCCCAGAAAATACTTCAATCTTGGAAATATCAGGAAATGGCTTCGCATGAACGGGCTGCATGTTGACGAGTGAGTCTGGCTGGGCGGAAGAATTTGCAGCTCCGTTTGGTGTGTCGGGAATGGAAATGATTTGAGCAGGTGTATCCGACGCCATACTTTCTTGAGATTGTTGTATAAAGTGGTCGGATAAACCTGCAAAAAAGCGTTTGAAAATAATATAGCTCGAGTCGCGTAAACGCTGTCCTCAAGAAAGTATTTCCGACTAGCGAAAATCTTTCCCCAAGATAAAACGAGCTCTTCGGCGTAAGCCGGTAACAGAACAACGAGAGTATAAAATATTAATCCAACAGTGTTGTCATATATTAGGGGGATGTTTAGCTCAAAATAATCTTTTGTCTAGCAAGCTAGCTACTAAATATGAAGAGTAAAATTTTCTATGAGAGCAAGAACCATTGAATTTTGAAGGCTGATTCTTCTATATCTTTCGAACACCACACAAACACACACACACACACACACACACACACACACACACACATATATATATATATATATATATATATATATATATATATATATATATATATATATATACACACACACACTAGTGCCATACCTGATAACGGTTGTATTAAATAATATTAATGTACGTTGAGCCATTAACTTCACTCAATTACTCCCCCTGCACGTTGAGCAAATTAGGACTCAAATGCACTCATGGTTTAAAAGTTTATTATTAAACAATGAATTTGAATAACAAGTTTAACGTTTCAAAAGTGAATGAACATTTAAAGTGCTTACCGTTATTATTTGGAAGAACTCAATGAACATTAAAATATTTTTTTAATATTATACAAGGATATCTAATTTATAATATTGACTTATAAAGTAATATTATTAGATAATAAGAAATAATTTATTCATTTGAAATACTCTCGATTTTTCCAACATTTTTTACATAACAACATACTATATATAATTTCCTTTGACTACACTTAGACTTTCAGTAATATTTAATTCCTTTAGCGTACACATACACTATCTTAAAATTATTTTAAAAATATCATTTACTTGCAAACAAATAGATTATCAAATGATATTCTTCATATTGTGTATAAATCTGTCACCTATATTGACACACTAAAGAAATAAGTACTCCATAATTTTTATACTCTCTGTTCTTATTTAAGTGACTCATATTTCTTTCTGTTTTTATTATTTATACACTTCTCCATTTTTAGTAAATTTTCCTATGTTTTTTATACTCTCACTTTTATTACTCTTACTTTTTACTCCATCTGGTCCTAAATAAACTTCACACTTTCCTTTTTGGATAGGTCCAAAATAAATTTCACACTTCTTCTCCCTTCCTTATTTGGCAAATTATCTACGTCAAAACAGTGCAAAACAGTGTAAAACAATGCCAAACAGTGTCAAACAATGTACACTACAGTAAAGTGAAATTTATTTTCATAATTTGTTGAAGTCAAAGTGTGAAGTTTATTTAGGACCGAAGGGAGTATATCTTTTACAAACTACTTTCTCTTTTTTAATTTTTCATTATTCTCATCCTCTTATTACTTTCTCTTTAATACTTTTTCATTTACCCACATACTTAATCAGTGACGAAGCCAGAAAAACGAGTCAGGGAGGTCGAAACTCAAGTATTTATAGAATAAAAATGATGGATCATTTTAAGACAATATTCGAGTTGAATGTTTCATATGTAGCTTACGACAATTTGAATGAGACTAATAGAGTTATAAATTTAATATATGTCACATATATCATAAATTTGTTTTATACGACTTTAGTCGACTGCTTTCTGCACCGGTGGCTGCATCGGTTTAGTCGACCTCTCACCCGGCTTAATATCATGTTTCCTACAACAAAAGAATCAGCTATTGAGTAGACACTCGTAACCGTAAGATAAATTGTCTTTGTTCTGTCCTCGAGTAATTAGTGAATTATTCGCTAAGCTATTTATAAAATTTGTGAATAAACCAATATAACGTATCAAATTTTACTCATTTTAAGTGTAGATAGTGCTTATTTTTCATATCTTATAATTTTTCACTCGTAATGAGTTGCATGAGTCATAATATATCAAATTGAGAGTATTTCTTGGTTCTATACTCTCATTGACTTCGCCCTCACCTCATAGACTTCGCCCCTACACTTAATATTATATTTAACCGTTTCTTCTTTAAAGCGACAAAAAACCGATAATTGATTAAAAGTTAAAAATTGAATGAAGTATCTACTATCAAAATCTCACTAAAAAGAAAATTAATACTACATTTGTCCCTTAAAATTTTGCCAAGTTTGATCGACACGAAGATTAATAAAGTAAAAACTGTGTGGTTGAGGTTTGTGCAGAGGAGAAAGAATTAACTGGAACCACAAATTCTTTACTTAAAAGGGAAAGTATCAAAGTTAGTGAGACATTTAAAAAAAGGAAATTTGATAAAGTATTAAGGGATGAAGGGAGTATAAATTCATAAATTAATTACTAAATGTTGCATAATTATTAGTCTACTACTCTACTTAAAAAACGGGACATGTGTAGAACCGTAGATCGCTTACCGTACATATATGTCGTGTCAAATTGCAACAATCTTCTCCAGCGGCGCTATTCCCACCCAATTACCCAAAAAGGAAAATGAGAAAACCCCAGGCCAAGTAGCCGCTTTGTTTCTCTCGCCGATATCTCCCCCATTTCCGATCCGTTCGTGAACAGTACCAAATCTGGCCGTCGCCGCTCTTCATTCGGAGGCGGACTCTGTCTCTCCGCCATTTTTCTTTTATCTGTCAAGCTCAAGAAAAAAACCCAAACTTAAATCCTGTAATCGAGAGAGTTAAAAAAAGATGACAAATTGGGGATTCTAGAATTCTTTTTATCTCAGATAATGCTCGCTTTCTCAGATCCATTTTCTCCCCATTAAATAACCCCTTCAAGCTTTTCGGGTGTCGTTTTTTGGGCTTTTCCGTGAGACCAGGGTTTTGACTCTCTTTCTTTATATTCTCGTGTTTTTAGCTTGATCAAGAGGGAATGTGGATTTTATTGGCAAAGGAGGTTGGGACGCTAGGTCAATGTTAAACTGCTGAGGAACACTTATTTAATTTTTAATCGTTTTGTCTTAGACCGTATGGCAAGTTCTGTTGAGTGCTGCCCTAAATCTATTGATGCTTCTGCGGGAGGGTTGGTGTGGGTCCGCCGTGGAAATGGGTCGTGGTGGCCGGGTCAAATTATAGGTCAGGAAGAACTGGTAGAGAGTAGCACGGCCTCACTCAGAGAAGGGACTCCAGTTAAGCTCATAGGAAGAGAAGATGCAAGTGTGTAAGTGTTATTAATCTGCCATTTTCCTCTTCTTTTTTACATTTTGTTTTACAGAGTAATATATTATGGCATGTTGGTTCTTAAGAATAATCAGTTCTTTATCTTTAGAGGCCCAATTTCAGTAGCAAGTTAATAATCACATTATAGTGTTGGAAAGTAATGATTTCCATACACCCAGGCATAGCCTCTTTCATAAGAAACCCGCTACTAAATGATGTGAATTGAGAGGCTGATGGCCAGATATGGATGCCTTTTACTCCGTATATCTTTTTATGCATTTTGCATTTATTATCATTATTTTTATATTGAAACTGGCAGAAAACTGAAGTGCAATACGACTTCGATAAAACTAAATAGTTTCTTGCGTGCTCTATTGCTCTTTTTTGCTTCTTGGTTTTCATGTATGTGGGAACGCATACATGAATTTTGTTGGTTTTGACATGTCAATAATTCAATATGCTACTGTCTGCCACTTGTCAATTTAATTATCTGGTTCTTAATTTGATATCATCTCAGCAATTAATAGAATTCATTGGGCTTTGTGAATGGGTAAAAATTTAAAAAGTATTTTGATGCATGTTGTATGCAGAATGACTCAGATAATATACAGTTGTAAACTGGACAATCGTTCAGGTATGGTTGGCGAGTGTATCATTTAAAGGGCATAACTGCGCACTGCAGTTTGTTATGTCTATAATATGTATACAATCATATTTAGAACTTATGTACGTAGTATCACTTTTACTATTATGCTTATGGTTAAGGTTGCCAGTTTTTTTTAAATGTAATATACAAGTGTCTTTTTTGGAAAAATAGTGGCATGAGATAGTGAATGGCAGCCACTTCCTTCCAACCAAATTGTGTTTTACATTTTATTCAAGGGGCATTCTTTATTTGACATGAAAAAATATTTCCTTTCGGTTTTTGAGGCATTTCCAGTAATTGGATTAGTAGGTGGGATATTTATTTATTTATTTATTAGTTTTTCATAAGTTAATTTTAATTGTCTTAACTTTTAAAGTGCCACCGCTTCAATGTTCACAAAAGATGAGGGTAAAGTGAGGGCAAACCTTTACAAACCTTTTCATGCAGAGATTGCAAGGATTTCAATAATTAGGATGTTGTTAGTCCAAATTGCTTGATTTGTATATCCTTCATTTCTTTGAAATCTAACTTGCTCATTAATTCCTTCTCCTTCTTTCAGTACAATTTTTTGTTTAATCTAATTTCATTCAAATTTCCATAGATTTTAAAAGTTTTCTTAAATTTTTGGTTGTTTTCAGGGACTGGTATAACCTTGAGACATCTAAACAGGTCAAGGCTTTTCGTTGTGGGGAGTACAATAAGTGTATTGAGAAAGCTAAGGCTGTTGCAGCTACTAATGCCAAAAAGGTAGTTAAACATACTCGAAGAGAAGATGCCATTCTTCGTGCTCTTGAACTTGAAACTGCCTCTCTAACAAAAAATGAAGAAAATATAGGCAAGGAAAGTAATGGTTCTGAAGGGTGTTCAACTTCAGATCCAGAACTGTCTGAGCCAAACACTGTTAGTGCTCCTGAAGAACAGCTCATACAGGGGGGCAGTCAACAAAATGGAACCTTGTTGAGTGATTCAGATGGTGGTGGTGGTGGTGGTGGGATCGCAGAAGGAGCTAAACGCATGAGAGGTCTTAATGACCTGGGGACTGGGGTGGTCCAATTATTAAAAAGGAAAAGATCTCAAGTGGCACATGTTCGCGAATTTCTGAAAAAGAAAAGCCGTCGTCGGCGCCGCTTGATGAAGGTTCTAGAGAGTACAGCCATGGTGACCATTCCTGTTGTTTGTGAAGGCGGCGTTCCCAGTCCAAATGGACCAGATTGCAAGGTGATGGAGAAAGCTAGTCCAAGCATTCCGGAGTTGCCTGAAAATGGTGGTGTACAGACTAGCTTGTTTGACGTTCCATTTATCGCAGGAGAGAAAAAGTCTCCAGGTATACTACTTTTTCAATCTTTAGTCACTATTTCTTCACAAGGATATCATCTTTCGTCAACATACTCATATTCTCCGGTTATTTAAAAAAAACTAAGAAATTGGTGTGTCATTTTACAACACTTCTCTGATACGCTAGTTATCAACTTAGTGCTTACTAGGTAATTTTGTTTATTGACTTAACAACCTTATCCGCCATTGTTTTTTGAATCACTAATTATTTTTCTTTGTAAATTGGTTGATAATGGAAAATCCCAAGGCCGGAGGTTCTTTGTTTAGCTGGGTTGGTGTAAGAGGACCATTTTAGTTATTTTCTTCGTATAATCTTTTAGTTAGTTTATTAGTAAAAACTAGTTTAGATAAAAAGTTCACCATTCAGCAGATTCAACCATTTAACCATAACTTCAACATATTAAGATAATTTCAGTCTTACGGGCTCTTATTCTCAGAGCTTGTTTGGGTAGTCACTTCTGGCTTATTGGCTGATCCTGATAATGAGCAGAATATGTAGTTTTTATTTGTTTATTCGGCTGAATTATATGATATCAAAAACTTTAACTTCCAGGAATATTTGGCCGATTCAGGCCGGCCCTGCCTTTCAAGCCCAATAACTATTGCCAAACAGGAACTTGATCTGGTTTTTTATTTCTTATGTTTCTTTGTCTTAATTTTGAGATGCACAAATTGTCACCAGGCTTGTCTCCAGTTGTATCATTAGCATCTCAGAAAGCTGAAATTGGTGTAGGAGAAAAAGGTAGTCAAAGCAGTGAAGTTGAAACAATATCATTAGGGATCAATAATGGTGAGCTCATCGAGTCGGGATCTAAGAGTTTGACTAATTTGGAGGTCAGTGATGTTAGCGAAGGGATAGAGAAAGGGACTTCAAAGTGGCAGTCAAAACGAAAGAGAAACTCCAGGCACATACGGCAAACTAAAATATGTGATTTGGGGAAAAGAACAGGTGTAAATGGCAAATCTCTCGCATGCTCAAAAGGTATGTATCCACGTATCTTTTTTTTCCTTTGTATATAAATTATAAAGCACTACTCCCTCCTTTGTCAATGGCAATCAACTTTGACCAATGATATTTTTTAATACGAAATTATTTAGAATATGAAAATTATACTCGTATCAAAATCTTCCTTATTCAAAATATTTTCATAAAAGTATAAAATTTATAAATTATATACATATATAATAATTAAAATCATTGTCCAAAGTTTGACATCGTTGACCGAGAAAAGTCAATATGGTGAACCTTTTCGGGACGGAGGTAGTATTATATTCCCTGATTATTTGACATTTTAAAATCTGGACATGTCTTTCATTCTGTTCTTTGTTGTAAATATAGTCTCTCAATTGCCAAAATTTATATACAAATAGTCTCTCTAGTTAAAGTTCGTAGTTTATTACTTCAAATGTTGTACTCCCTCCGTTCCTATTAAAAATTCCAACTTTCCTTTTTCGTCCGTTCCAATTAAAACTTCCACTTTCCGTTTTTAGTCTAGAATTTGTGGTTTCAACATTTCTTACACATTTCTCTCTCCTCTGCACAACTCTCCGCCACACAATACCCACTATCTTAAATTGTGTGCCAAACCTATTTGAAAGATAAAATAGGAACGGAGGGAGTAATAAAAGTTGTCATGATTAATTTGTGTCCCGAAATAAGAGTCTGGTTTTAAAGTCAAGTATCATATTAAGTAAAAGTCATATAGAGGCAACAAGCAATAAATTTAATTCAATTACTCCAACTAATCTTGGAAATAAGTTCTAGAAGCATAAGTGATCATTCATAACTTGAAAAACTTAACCTTGATTGTGTTGACTTTAATAAAAACTTTAAAAGTTGTATGGCGGCACATTGCTCAGAGATGGTAGGGTAAATATTCGGGCTTATGGGGGGGCATTGTTGGCATTCTATATAGCCAAGAGTGCTCCCATGAACTATAAGGAAGTTCTAAACAATGATTTTACAAGAGGGACTGATTGTATCTAAATTACTGCATGTGTCCCCAAAAAATTTCTGCTTCGAACACTATTTGTCTCAGTAAGGAGTCACGTTTTATCAAGCAGAGATTTTTTGTATAGTTTACCAAAATAGAGTCAAACAGAAGTAACGTATGATAGCTACGCCAACAAATAAATTTAATTAAAAGATATTGGTGGTAATAATATTTTAAAGCAGTTGTATCTTAACAAGAAGATTGTACTTTGGTAGGACATGACTATTTTTTTGGGACTGATGTAGTATAAGTTTACAATTGGTAGACTGAATTTTGAAATTTGAAAGACTGGTCTGACACATTATGCAAAAAAATGAGGGACCAAGTGTAATTTTATTTTTCCAAAATTATTAACTACTTTACCAATTTGCTTGTTATTACAGCATTTTATACCAATTGCAAGTCAAAAACAGTTGAAGAATTTCAGATGGACAAGTTTCAAGGTTGGGGCTGGAACATCTCACATGCAAAGGAACCAAAAGCTGAGGTGTCGAATCCTCACAGATTACGGCCTTATCGCCAGTCCCGCTTTACGGTGAACCCTAAGTACGACTCATCAGATTTCTCTTTTCTAAACCACAAGACCAAGTTGTCTCCACTGTATGATGTCAACCTGGAAGTGAAATCCAGCTATGGCCGACCTCAGCAGGTTCCTTATGTGTCTTTAACAAGCAAAATAAATGGCAACCGCCCAATCACCGGTCACCCGCTCACAGTTGAGGTATTAGATGACGGCTCCTGTGCTCAACTACTGCTAATGAGTGCTTCTGATTGCTGTGATGATTTAGTTGTGAATTTATCCAAACGGAACTCTTGTAGTAAGAAATTGAAGTCAAAGAATAGTGATCTACTGTCTTCAAAGAAGATGAGGAAATTGTCTTCATTAACCGGTTCTCGCAAGCAGAGTCCAGACAAGACAAAAGCGAAGCTTGTGGGGCCCGCAGTAGCTTGGGTCCCGCTGAAAGTGGTGTTCAGTAGGATCAATGAAGCATTAACTAGTATTTCATCTCATGGAACCAGCAATGGTTGACTCTTCTTTTTTATTTGTTCAAATGAAGATTGGTTTCTGCCCTGAAGGTATAAATTCTCTGAAAAATAGTTGGATATGGGCACTATGCATAACTGTGTAACTTTATTGCAGATGTAAAGAATGATGCTCTCAGTAGTAGATAGGAAGTTTCGGGTTTAGTCTCTATTACTTCCAGACTAGATGTATCCAAGTAAAATAAGGAAAAGAAGAGAGAAAATGGTGATCCAACCTTGGCTGGTTAAATGTAAAGAATTTTCTGTTACTCTTAACATTTGGCTGCTAACGAGTTTTGGACAAGGATATATTCCTTCCTGGACTGTGAAACTTCAAAGTTCGTTGTTTTGTTAGGAATGTAAAGTGCCATTTTTTTTGTGTATTTGGCATTACTGGGTAACTAAGTATTCATTGCTCATACTGTATCGTCTGTATGTCTGCATAAACATTGTGATTTTCTGAATCACCCCTCACCTGGTTGCTTTGGTTTCACATGTTGAGTGATGAGTGGCAGACTGGCAGACTCACCACTTTGGCTAGATTTGATGTCTTTTATGAGTTTTATCAGCTTTCCCATTGCACTTTGGGTGTAATAGTGTCATTTTCTTATAATTTTAACCAGGTTTTTCTTTTATGGTGAAATCGACACGAATAATCTCCACTTTTACGCATTTTACAAAAATAATCCCTACTTGAAAAATTCACAACAATAATTCCTACTATTTAACAGTTTTGCAAAAATAAACCGAGTGCATACGGTGTTAAGTTTTCCGTTATTTTTTTTTTTTAAATATATTGAATCGAAAATATATATAAACATTGACACTACTATATTTGAGTTTAATCTTGTTTCTACTAAAAAAATAATTTAATATTCAATATTTCCATAAAACATACTCCCTTCGTTCTCTAATACTTGGCCCTCTTTCCATTTTGGGATGTTCTCTATTAGTTGTCTCTCTTTTCACTTTTGGTAAGTTTTTTCAATAAATATACTTATTTACCCTCATTCTCTTTCCTACTTTTTCATTCTTTTTCCTACTTTTACCTTTACACACAACCCACTACACCTTTTATCTTACCTGATGGAGTATATGGGTCTGAGCCCCCGGACCCACATACTCGGAAGAACAGAAAGCACAACACAGAGTGGCGCCCTCGTCGGCCAAGGGACCCTCGTCGGCCGAAAAGGTGTCAACTCAGATTATGGTCCTGAAGCCAAGGAACCCGGGTGCCCTCGTCGGCCGCGCCCTCGTCGGTCGTGCCCTCGTCGGCCACGCCCTCGTCGGCCACGAAGACTCCACAGAACCGGATTTTATACTTACTCATTCGTACAGCCCATTAGTGGCTTTGTATTCGGCCCAGTAGCGGTCCAGTTGTAAATGGGCCTCCCAAGCCCAAGGTTTGGGAGCCCAGCCCGTATTTTTTCTATAAATACTCCCCTTGGGAGTAGTTATAGGGGTTACAAATTCTTTCTATTGAAACATATTACTCCACTTCTCTCTCTAGCTCTCACTTCTCTCTAGATATACTCTATCATTTGGTGCTCTCGTTGAGAGCTAGAACAATCAAGTTAGCACCTTTCGTCGCTACCAAGCACAGCTAACCACTGATCATGGGAAGAACTAAGTCAAACCGCAACCTCGTCAGCAAGTCCATCCCTGAGGACCAAGAGCCCAGGGAGCACGATGAGGACGCCACGGCTGACCAGGTCGGCGGAGGGGACCTCTTCCAGGAGGCCTTCAACCTCACGACGGACCTCCGCAACCAACTCAACGGCGGAGCCCCTGATGCCCGCCTCGGCTTGGACAAGAAACGAGCTGAGAAGACGGATCACGCCCCGGCCCAGCCTATGGATCCACAGGTCCAGGCCGCGCTGTCGGCCATCATCGCCAGCCTGGCTCAGAACCCCACCGTCCTCAGCGCACTCTTGCCAAGGATCGGGGGAACGTCACTCAACCTCCTCAGCCCCAACCGTTGGCCGTCCAGATAAGCAACGATGAGGGGGTGGTGGCCCAGGACACGGCGTCGTCCCACTCCCACCCTGCTTCCCCTCTTCGGCCTGGGCAGACCCAAGCGCGTGGAAAAGCCTTTGCCTTCAACAGGCTAGGTGACACGCGCCGTCGTCCGGTTTCGGAGAGGATGGCGGGACGGATTGACGAGCCTCGTCCTGGCTCGCCGAGGGAAAGCTTGGGGTCTGTGTCCCGGACAGCGGACCAGCCCCGCCCGGACAAGGGCAAGGGGAAGTTGCACGAAGACGACGTGCACCACCGAATCAATGCGGCTCACGACGAGCGCATGAGGAACCAGCCGGGCGCCGCTGCGGCCGTCAGGGACCCCTGGGACGAAGTCATCGCCCAGCTGGAAAGGAGGCTTGCTCAGATGGAAGCCAAGCAGTCGGCCAACATCCCTACGGCCGGCGCCTCCAACGACCCCGACCTCAATGCGCTCATGAACAAGGTCAGCGCCCTGGAGAGGGAGCTGGCCGAGGGGCGAGGTGACCCCATCATCCAGGTCAGGACCAGGACCCCTTTCACCAACAGGGTCCTCTCGGCCCCCATCCCGGAGAAGTACAGGGGGAACGCCATCAAGTCCTACGACGGCCGATCAGACCCCCAGGAACACTTCAGCCGTTATCAGAACAACATGCTGATGGTGAACGCGTCCGACGAATACCTCTGCCGTTGGTTCCTCTCTACTCTCGAGGGGCCAGCGTACGAGTGGTTCAACGCGGTCCTCGAAGGGAGCATCGACTCATGGCAGGATCTCGCCCAACGCTTCCTCACTCACTTTGTCGGGAGGAAGCGTGCGAAGAAGTATTTCACCCACCTCCTCTCCGTCAAGCAGCAGCACGAGGAGTCCCTCCAGTCATTCATTGATCGGTGGACGAGGGAAACCGAGGAGGTCGAGGGGGCCGATGAGCGCACCCTCCTCGCCTTGTATCAGGGAGCCCTCCGCAGCTCCCCGTACGCTAGGAGCCTTATCACCGACCCTCCGAGGTCGTACGCCAAGGCGCTCCAGCGCGGAGGCTTGTACGCCGACGCCGACGAGCTCCATAATCACAAGAAAGAGGGGGGCCATCCCTCCAAGAAGACAAATCCTTCGCCGGCCCCGGGTCCGTCCCCGGCCGGCCAGGGTGCCCAGGGCCGTCACGGCTCTGGTGGACAGAGTAAGAAAGATCGCCACTGGCGGCCGAGGTTGGAACGGCCGGGGGTCTCCCTCACTCACCCGGTCGGCACCATCCTCGATTATGCCGAGAAGCACGGCCTCATCGAGCAGGCTCCTCGGCCGGCCGAGGAGATCCTTGCCATCCAGCAGGGCGGCACATACTGCCGGTTCCACAAGAACTCGTCGCACAACACCGACGATTGCATCACACTGAAGAAGGCCATCGAGCGCCTTATTCGCCAGGGGGAACTCTCCCAGTTTGTTAAAGGTGGCCCACGCAAAAACACATGGGTAAACACCGGCAAACATGGGGGCGAACCCTCTGCGAAGAAGCGGGAGATTGGTAGGCTCAGCGACGACGAGGACTTCGAAGAGCCCCCGCCGAAGAAGAATCACATTCACCTCATCGTAGGTGGGAACACTGGGGGGGACTCCGCCACTCAGAGAAAGAAATGGGCCCAATCCCTCTACATAGGGGAGGTGTCCCACGTTCCCCCCCAGCCGAAGAAGCAGCGGACGGAGGCGATCACCTTCACCGACAAGGATTTGCCTCCGGGTACGGGATCACACAGGGACGCCCTCGTCATCCGGTGTGAGATCGGTGACTCCATCATCCATCGCACTTACATTGATACAGGGAGCTCCGTCAACGTGATGTACCTGGATACCTTCAGGCAGCTGAAGCTGGACAGAGCTCTGCTGAAGCCGATCAAGACACCGTTATCCGGCTTCACCGGGGACTCTATCGACGTCGAGGGCACGATAGTCCTCCCCGTGGAGGTCGGTGACGGCCCCCACCGCGCCAGGATTGACATGGAGTTCATGGTGGTCAACCTCCAGTGCGCCCACAACCTGATCTTGGGGCAGCCAGCGCTGGAGGACTTGGAGGCCATCATCTCCATGAGGCACTTATGTCTGAAGTTCCCCACCAATGACGGCATCGGCTACGCCAGAGGAAACCAGAGGATAGCCAGGGCGTGCTACCTCAAATGGACAAGGCCGGCCGAGAGGGAGGGCCAGAGGATAGACACCATCACGGCAGCCGTAGCCAAGGACGAGGAGAGACCACATGCGGAGCCGGCCGAGGAGGTCGAGGAAATCCCTCTGGATACCTCCCGGCCGGAGCGGGTTCTCAGAGTCGGGAAGCAACTCCCTCAGGACCAACGAGACGCCATCCTCCTCGTCCTACAGTCATACGCCGTTGTCTTCGCGTGGGGCCCGGACGACATGCCAGGCATCAGCCGCCAGGTGATCACTCACCGGCTGACCGTCGATCCGGCCTCCACGCCCATCAAGCAGAAGCGGCGCTACTTGTCCGCCGACAGGCGGGACTTCGTCAAAGGGGAGGTCGCCATGCTCCTCTCAATCAAACACATTAAAGAGGTGAAATACCCGACGTCGTTGGCCAACGTCGTCCTCGCCTAGAAACCGCCGACATTCAGGATGTGTGTTGATTACACTGACCTGAACAAGGCGTGCCCCATGGACCCGTTCCCTCTCCCCAACATTGATCAGCTGGTGGACGAGACGGCGGGGTGCGAGTTGATGTCGTTCCTTGACGCTTTCAGTGGGTACCACCAAATCTCCATGCATGAAGATGACGCTGAGAAGACGACATTCATGACCCCAGAGGGAATCTTTTGCTATCTCGGTATGGCCTTCGTACTAAAAAACTCCGGCGCCACCTACACTAGGATGGTGGCCAAGATCTTCAGAGCGGTCCTTGGCCGGACGATGGAGGCGTACGTCGACGACATGATCGTCAAGAGCAGGCAGGCCTCCTCCCACGCCGACGACCTCCGGGAAATCTTTGAAATCATGAAGGAGTTCAGTCTCCGGCTCAAACCCAAGAAGTGCGCCTTCGGCGTCCAGGGCGGAAAGTTCCTCGGCTACATGGTCAGTCGGAGAGGCATCGAGATAAACCCGGAGAGACACATGGTCAGTCGGAGAGGCATCGAGATCAACATGGAGCCGCCCCGCAACGTCAAGGAAGTACAACGACTGACGGGGCGCCTGGCGGCCCTGAACCGGTTCCTCTCCAGGTCAGCCGAGAGGGCACTCCCCTTCTTTCAGATCATGCGTAAAGCCAACAGCTTCAAGTGGACGACGGAGTGCCAGGAAGCATTCGACGAATTGAAAAGGTACCTGTCGTCCCCACCCGTGCTCTCCAAGCCCAAAGCCGGCGAAACCCTCTTCTTGTACTTAGGGGTGAGCACGTCGGCCATCAGCTCCGTGCTCATCCGTGAGGACGAAGGGGTGCAGAGGGCCATCTTCTACATCAGCAAAACGCTCAGGGAGGCCGAGCTCAGGTACTCCCCCATTGAGAAGACGGTGCTGGCCATCGTCCATACGGTAAAGAAGCTGGGGCACTACTTCCAGGCCCATGCCGTCCATGTGCTAACC